CCTCCAGCTGTGCGACTGAGCACAAACACACATATCTTTAGCAGCGTGTGATCACAAAGAGAAGCGCCTGAGATTTACTCAGATCACTGGTGTTTGTTTAAGGTGGATGTAGACACAATCTGTGACTCACACACACACACACACACACACACTGTCTGAAGTGCTGTATTTATAAGTCTGTGTGAGAGCAGAACTCATGACTCCCTGCTGATGACAGCCACAAAGAATCAGACCACTTCAAAACAAATTCCCCCAAAACACAGCCCCATGCAGCAGAGGAGCATTCACCAGGGATGTTAATCATTAACTGTTAACCTACAGGAAGAATTTTGACAACGCCACGATGCTGCTCCTGGGAGACGAGCACCCATGAACAAGCTAATGACCCAGAGGCAGAGGTGAACATCTGTATCAGAGCGGTCAGGTCAACGTCTGCCTGGTTAGCTCGGGCTAACAGAAGAGAGCAGAAAGTGACACTCAGCACCAGACACAAGTGAAAAACTACTACCTGTGATGATAATTAGATTTTCTCAGATTTTTACTAATGACATTTTTTTGAGTTTTTGAGGTCAAAATTTTCTGTTTTTCTTTAGATTAAAACTCTTAAGTTGATTCAGGCGTGATGGCCAACAGACCTTTTTCACAGCAGATATTTTGACTTGTAATAGCAGGAAAAGCAAAGGTGAAACTGTTAATATTAACGAAGGCTCAGTTCCATTAAGTGTCACAGTGAGCTGGTACGCACAATGTCAGGACCTCCTCTTAAGGCGCTGACACACCAAGGTGACAGTTGGCCGTAAGTTAACGTTGGGCCATTGTCAGTGCGGCCATGGTCAATTCAGCATGTTGAGTTGGCGTTGGCCACGACCATCTGTGAATGAAATCACTCTGATTGGCAGTTCAGCTCGGCACAGAGGGAGTGAGACCAAAACAAACTTGTTCCATAAGGTCAGATTATTTTTCTTTATCCATTGAGCTCTTTATTGAAAATGTTTCCTGAAAGTTTGTGTTACTGTTCATTGGTTCACGCTAAACATACTTTATTCTTTCAACATTGGATTTTGTCGTTAACGTGCTAACTAGCTAGCTAGCAAGCTAGTCTTCCTGTTTACCTGCTGTTATAGAGAGTTACTTCCTCTCATGCAGGCGCAGAACGGACATACTGGTTGGTCGTGAGCTGTAGCCTTCGCGATGTGTTCATGTGCAACTTTTTGGCTGAGATATCAGGCGACACAGCATGGGGCCTTCGTTGTGTCAGGGCCTTAATCTGACGTCTTCAGATATTGTCACCAGCAAAGGATTTTGATGTCAGCCAACAACATTACTTGTGTGTTATTCTTAAGTAAACTTCTTTACTTGAAGTTAGATGAAGTCCATCTGCATCCAGGATCTCACCAAACAAATGTCAGGGTACATATAAACAGTCTGAGCTGCTGGTTGTCGGCCATGTTTGTTTGGTTACAAGAACACACAACAACTAGTGTTTCTGCAGAATTGGCAGGTTTGTGTTGTCTCATGTTTTTACTTTGTCGTACAGTTTCTGCTCCTTCCAGGCTGACAAACAGAATCTGTGCAAGTTGGTGGAAACAATCTTTGTGTTTTTGCAGGTTTCAGATAATGCTCATGTTTGTCCCAGATGTTAGTCCTCTATGGTTTCGTTGGTCTGACAAAAAAACAAGACATTTAAAGACATCACCACAGATTCTGGACAGTTGTGGTGACAGTTGTTCACTATTTTCTGATGTTTTATAAAAGCTTATTAATAGTAACAATAATGAAAGCCATCGTTAGAGGTGAGTCTACATGATCTGATCTCATGCAGACAGGATTCCACGCAGGACAATCCTGAAGTCATTACTTTCCTTCCCTGACCCCCCTAATTTGGAGAGCAGCACTTTCCTCCATGATTCATTATCGTGCCGGCCTGCTGTTTACATGCTCGGCTCCCATTCAGAACTTAATCACCATTTCCTTCCAAATAGGTCACAGTCACAACAGCCAGTCTGAGGACCAGATGAAGGGATTATCCCCAAAAAAATGGCAACTGCACAGCAGGTGGGGTTCTCTCTGCAGTTTTCTGCATGCCTAACACATGGGAAGGGTTGTGTGTGTCCATGTGTGTGTGCCAAGGGAAGAAGAAGAAGGGTCGCTAGTGAAGGCAGGAAAAAACCTTGTGTGACCTATTTCTAGATAGGCTGAAGCAGCGGCTCTGTTGCTAGGAAAAGTCTGGATGCTGTAACGTTGCACAGACGCAGTTTAAAGGAGATTTAAAATGAAAGTGAGTTAAATCTTCAAACATTAACAGACACTTTACAGGTAAATACAAACGCTGTGTGAAAAATAAAATCATAATATGTTCAGATTAAACGACCATAAACAGGATGTCAGCTATTTATGAGGACAAATAAACAAAGAGGAGTGTTTTAGCCAAAGGACGGAACAAGTAGAGGCATTTTTAAAATGATAATCACCATGTTAATGATTGCTAAGCGAGCACTGAGGGCTAACATCCTCAGGGCACGGTCACACATGCCTGAAATTAACAGTGGAGAATATATATCACTTCCATGCAATGCCAGTGAAAGGCAAATAAAACATTCACTTACAGCCTCAACTAATAGCACAGAATTATATGAGGAGGAGTAAGTGTGCCGTGTAATCAACTGATATTGTTTGATACTGGCCATGAAAAATACAAAGTGTCCCACACAGAGCTGCAGCCTGGCTGGCAGTGAGCTGGCAGACAGGCGGCAGCTCTGAGCAGCTCTCACAACTATTCTCTCTTCCTGCACATAGTTTTTTTAAATACCTGAGTATTCCCTAACTTGCCTGATGACATGCCTCTCGATGCTTTTCTGTGACGACAGCTATGATGTCATGTATTTACAATCAAAGTCAAACCTTTTCTTCAACCTCTCTGAATCCTGTGAGGGCTCTTTGGGAGGAGGAGATCTCTGGGGAGCTTTGGGGGAGTATTCTTGAACGTGTGCATAACTCATCTGTCTACGCCAGACATGGGTTGAGCCAGTTAAAACTGTCCTTCACACTCATCGGACCAAAGTTAGACTTTAAAGTTTATGAAAGTATGAACCCATCTTATGAAAAATGTCATCACACACCTGCAACACATGCACATTTGTTCTGGTCATGTACATTGCTGCACAACTACTGGACTGTGATTGTTAACACTTTGTCAGAGGTAACTGGGACACTTATCAAGCCTATAATGCCATTACGGCTCTGTTTGGTATCACTCAGTTTCCGTTGCCTAGGCTTGGAGCAGATCTTGTAGCTTTGTGACATTACTGGCGGCGTCTCATATTAACGAGATGGGAATCACCGACACCGCCGAGATTCTCAGTAATTTACAGCTTGATAAAACAAAAAGCATCAAATCTTCACACTGGAGGAGAAACCAGTGAATGTTTTAGTGTTTCAGACTGAAGAATGAAACAAAACATTCATCAGTGGACAAACTATTTGACAGTTCATTTTGTCATCGACATACTGAGTAATTAACTCATCATCATTTTAGGTCAAATAAACTGTAAGAAAAGAGAAAAGTTCCCAACTAGGTCACATCCTTAAATTGCACCAGTTGAAACAAAATATCAATATTTACTGAGGTGTTGATGTAACCAAGCAAAACATCAAATCCTCACATTTGAAAGAGTGAAAAGTTGAGGATTAATTTTCTGTTGATACACGGTTCAACAAATCAATATATATCTCCTTTTAAACACATTTAAACACAGAAAAGCAAAGAGAACTATACGACACGGCAGTTTGGTCGCTGTATTTCTTGTCAGCATGAAAACACAAAGTCATTTTCCTATTTTGATGCTAACAAACAACAAAAAAATAAGATTTGAATTCATTTTTTTTCTCCACAATTGAATTAGGGCTCCAACTAACTGCTATATTCATTGTTGCCTGATTATTTTCTCTATTAATCGATCAGTTGTTTGGTCAATGAAATGTCTTCTTGATTTGTCCCTAACCCAAAGACTCTCAGCCACAGAGGAGCAAATAAATCAGAAAATATTCACAATTTTTTTTCTTGAAACAATCACTCAAACTAGCTAATCGATTATCAAATTAGTTGGCGACTAATTTAACGACAACTAATCGATTAAGCAGCTTTTGATTGAGTGAGACCATTGAATGGTATCAGTCAGGCTGAAGACCTGTGTCTTTAATCTGCCTTTAATGTAATGTAACATAACATTCATTTATTTATTTACTTTCTTTTTATTCTATGGACTTTAATCATCATATCTATCAGTTTGATCTTTTTTGTTTGGTTTGCCTTTTTTATATTTTATTGTCTTACTCTTATAATTTTTAGTCTTGCAAAACTTTACGTTCTGTTGTTTGTGTTCTCCTTTAAATCATGACCTGTGTCACTCTAATGTTGTCATGTGGAGCACTTTGGGCTGCATGTTTGTATGACAGTACACTACAGGTGAAAACAGTTTTTCATGCACAGGTCAAGTTTGTTTCTTGTCATCTTTCAGACTTGTGTAAAGAAAAAGTCAAATATTAAGGTGTTTAATATAGTTCAGGTTTCTGTTCTGGAGATAAATGCAAAAAGTGCAGATTTAATTACGTGATGCTTCATTTTCATATTTAATCACAACAATTCAGATATATTGCAAGACAAAAGGTAACTGTTTTATGTAAGTCAGGAAGTGGACAAGTGTCATGGTGATTACTCAACAGTTGATTCACTTGTGCGTAAATGAGTGATTTAAATGATTAATCGATGATCAGAGGTGCTGCAGACTGATCTTCTGTTCACTGTCTAATCAGCTCATCACCTATTGTTTCATCACTGATGCAAACATCACTCTTATTTGTATCCAGGTGAGTTCTGGTGTTAGTTTGAACCATGAAAGGAAATAAAAATACTTTTATCATAAGCAGAAATATATTGATTAATTGATTTAGGTAGAAACGCGGTGTTATGCTGGATGATCTGATGGATAATAGTTTCCTACCTTCCAGGCTGAAGTCCAGCAGCACATACTCGTACACAGTGTCAGTCTTAGTCTCCACCTGTGGTCTCTTTAAGGTGGAGTAGATCTTCCCGGGGCTGTTGTCCTCCGGGTCTTCCAGTTTCCGTAAGCCGCAGCCCATGGCCTCTGAGGCGGGGAGCAGCCGCTCACAGAGCGCGGCGGGAGCACCGGAGACACACACACACACACACACACTCAGCTTCTCTTCAGGCTTCAACTTTAACGGGACCGCTCCATCACCTCCCGCTCCGTCCTCCCCGTTACTCCCTCTGAGAGCTCACACACAGATGAGGAGGATGAACCGGAGCACCGGAGACGCGCCGGTTACCGGACACAGGACACAGTGTTTTAACGGGGACCAAGCGTCCCGCTGATGTGGCCGCAGGTCTGAAGCGTGGAGAGGAGGAGCCGCTGTCTCTGGGAAAAAAAAAAAGTTTCCTCCACAATCAAGCCCCCGAAATAAGACAACTTCCGGTCACTGTTTCAAAATAAGATACTAGAATAAACTGAAGGAAAACATTTAGATTAAGAATAACATTTTTATTTGTTGTTTTATTTGTTTGTTTTCTTGAGCTTTTGTTTATTGTAGTATTGTCAGGTCCAAAACCAAAAGTATATTCAGAACATTCCTCTGCTGGGTACTCTCAGTGTTATCCAGAACATTTTCCCAGTGGTGTAAAGTAACTAAGTAATGATACTCTGTTACTGTAGCTCCTTGAGTATTTTATGGAGTATCTGAACTTTGCTTGAGTTCTTTATATTTCTGTCAGCTTCCACTTTCACTGCTACATTTTCCCTGAGCATCTTAGTGACTACAAAATAAGGAAGGGAGGGAGGAAGGGAGGGAGGAAGGGAGGAAGGCACGGACAGACGACTGAAGCAATGGGAGTGAAGGAAAAACTGGATTTTAATTTTTTAAATCCTTTATTTATTTATTTTTAACTTATTTTTTCCAAATACAATTTTTTTGCCACAGCGAATCACCTGCCTCCATCTAACCCTATCCTCTGCATCCTCTTCTCTCACAACTGTACTTAAGTATCAAAATTAATTTTATGATATTAAATGTGGGCGGCATGGTGGTGCAGTGGTTAGCAATGTCGCCTCACAGCAAGAGGGTTCCTGGTTCAATCCCAGGAGGGAGCCCTTCCTCCCACAGTCCAAAGACATGCAGGTTAATTGGTGACTCTAAATTGTCTGTAGGTGTGAATGTGAGTGTGAATGGTTGTCTGTCTCTATGTGTCAGCCCTGTGATAGTCCGGTGACCTGTCCACACCCAGCGTCAGCTGGGATAGGCTCCCCCCCCCCCCGTGACCCCCAACAGGATAAGTGGTTACCAAAATGGATGGATGGATATTAGACACAAGTATTGAAAGTAGAAAGCAGTTCAAATTTTGAGACTTATTAAGTTTATTTCAGCTCCTATTTTCAAACTTCCTTGAAGCTGTAATTGGGGCCATGTGTAATCATTCGCACTTCCCTCTACAACATCCCTGTCAAGTGAAAGTACTCATACAGAACGGCTCCACTGACAGTGTTATAACTTATATTACTGTAGAATATCATATTCTAACTAACAAATAGCCTCCATGTGAGGTCATTCTAATGAAGAATAAATAGGGAGTGCTGCACTGAGTCGAGAAACTAGGTGATGGTGATGGTTTAAAGTCAGGTGACTGTCCAGCTTCCCTCCTTTATGTAGACGTCCATGGTGTAAGTTGGAGTTCTTATCCAGGTATTATCATTATAATAACCTGCATGTTTTCATTACCTTAGAATGAGTCTTTTATGTCTTCATATGGAGCAGGTCCTCTTCCACAGAGGCTGCCATGTTGATTCTACAGTAGCCCAGAGCAGACAAAACTACTCACTGGCTCTGCAGAGGACCATTCGCTTTTTTGTGTTTCCTGTTTTTCCCTTCGGTCACCGTAGTTCTCTTACACACTTGGCACATGGGTAAAGTTTCTGTTCTGCAGCCTCACCACTAGATGTCATAAAATCCTTCACACAGGACCTTTAATTACTCGAGTAACTGTACTCAGTTACTTTCCATCACTGGTCCTGAACTAACAGGTCAATAATGTTTAACTTCACATGCAGCCACTCAGAATATGAAAAAAGGACTCTGATGATGAAAACAGTGAGGAGTAAACCTGCAGGAAACACAGAGGACGTGTGCAGCGACAGACCTGGGATCTGTTAAACACACTTTATGGGTTCATCTCTCCGTCACTAATGAGGGACTTCAGATGGAGCGTATACTCAGCCGCCTGCTGCGCATCAGCCCTCAACTCTGTGCTCTTAATGGTCTTAAGTGGAAATCAGAGAGTGACAGAGGTCAGAGGTCGGCAGCATTAAGGCGTGTGTGTGTGCTGGGGTCACTGCCTCGACCTCGCAGTTTGACGCCACATGGTCCGGATGTGGTTACAGATTCATTAGACAACATGAGAACAGTGGTAAGAAAATGAGGCGGCAGCAGTCAGAGTGTTAAGTTACACAGATCACAGATGAAGAAAGTCAATCCTCACTGTGACCACGGTGAGAAATGTTCACTGATTGTGTTTCTCAGACGGCAGATGGCCGACAGTACAGCCAGGAAGTTAAAGACTACATGCTGATAGTGCTGCAACATTTTGTCCTCAGTGAGCTCCAGTGTGTGGAGAAAGTATTCACATCCTTCTGTAAAAGTCCTGCATGCAAAAACTTTACTTAAGGTAAAATACGTCTTATTATTTTGCCTGTGTGTATCAGTTTATGTCCCCTCTCTTTATTCAGAGGGTTTGTGGGGTCTGTGAACGCAGTGCAGGCAGAACTCTTCTTTTCTTTCCCTCAGCATCAGTTTGCAGGGTTTTGAGTCTCAACTGCTCAGTTAACACGTTCTCATCTGAATTTGTCAAACACTGTCGCTTTGTTAGTGGACCTAAACATCAAAATATGACGCACTAGGTGCTCCTCTGCTTCAGTTTTTTACATTCTGGGATGGGATCTCAAATAATGCTTGTTACATGCATCGTGTGTTTTCAAAATAAACCTCAGTTGTCACAGGAAATGCACAGTTTTTGCTTGTTGCATGCAAACAGTCTTCATCAAAATAAACTTACGATGTAGGTGTAGCAACAAAAGCACGTGGTTAGGTTTAGAAAAAAACATTATGGCGTCACTACTGTAGCATGCTTCACATTCGAGCACGATACTTTGTCACTGAAAGAACTCCATTGACTAGTGGTCAATGGCATTATGGAGCTCCTGGTTGAAAGGCTGGAGTTTGTCTGACCCATCCACCTCCCTGCCCGCCCACCCTAAAGGGACTTTCTCACTCTTGTTGGCAGCATTGCAAACTCCCGCTGGCCAGTGTGTTTAATAACACCACAAACAGTGCCTTTGTGCGTCTGCATCTGATGCAGATATCCCCTGACAAAGAGGTGGTATTTGACGAGTTTGTTTGCCTCAGTAACTGCCGCCACCCAGTGCATATCATACTGCTGCAAATGGTGCCTTTGTGCGTCAGTGTTGGGAATGAGACCAGTTGATCCAATCAGAGCTGATCAGATCAGAGGCCTGTACTATGAAGCCAGTTCAACTTACCCAGGATATCTTTCATTATCTGGTTTTACTAACCTTCATTTTGGCCGCCTGGATAACTGGTACTACAAAGGTGGTTATCAACTAGGGCGCCATTGAACAGTAATGGCGCCCGACCACGTATCATGTCGACGTGAAAAGGACAGCTTTTTTTGTCAGTGTCTGACACTGGAAGTGAATTTGGATGACTTCAATGTGAGACCAAGCTGTGGCAGCAGGTGTTTTAATCCCGGTGGGCTGCAACAAATGAATGAATGTGTGGAAAACACTGCATCCATGTTTTTACATCAACCACCGTTCTCCTAGTTTTTCTACATACTTAGTGAGCAGGGTCTCACACCGAAGTCGTCAAAATCCAACGCTTGGGCAGTGACTTGTGGTGCCAGAAACCAATGAAAAAAAGGCATCCTTTGATGTCAGCATGATATGCAGCCAGTTGCCGTTATAGTTTAACAACGCTCGGCGGCATCACGTATGGCGAAGAGTCTGGTTTCCATTCACTCTGAATTTTGTCTGGATTCTGATTCCGGTCTAGAGAGCGGATCCGGAATTCACCAAATTCACCAAAGTAAAAGTGTTCACCAAAGTAAAACTTAAATTTTGGTGCACCATCGATTTCCGTCTCCGGTTTAGTATCGTATTGTTGTTGTTGTGGTTGTTGCTGTAGTTGATAGAGCATGCTACATGGCGAGCATCACGCAGTTTTCCTCTCTCTTCCGCTCCCACCGCCCCAAACTTTATCGAAAAAATGCATTTACAAACTACAGGTATAATGTACAAAACAGTGTGTGTTATTTCAGTGACAAAAAGTGCCTATTAAATAAAACAGACAATTGAAATAGACAATAACTTGTAATACAATTAAATACATTAAAAGAAAAAGGTTAACTTAATGGCTTGGGGCTTTTCTTGTAAATTATATTCTTTAAATTAAAAAGTTTCACCTTATTTTTATTAGCTTGGTGCTTTTATTTTGACGGAAAGGCACATCCATCGAATTCCAGATCCTGTCTCGCTCGCCCTGGTTCCGGTTCCTTACCAAAATGGCCACTAAACGGCCCCAGACTAGTTTGTGCCCATGAGATTGTAAAGCCAAACTCTGCTTTTTTTTCCTAAACCCAACAACGTGTGTTTGTTGTTGAAGGTAAAAAAAACCCCATAAATTTGTGGTGCTGTACCGACATAGTACGTTTATTCTCAAAGAGACTGTATGTAAGCATTGAATTTCCTATGAAAAGGGAAGTGTAGGAACAAAAAAAGGCCGCTGAGGCGGCTTGCTGACACGTCACTCCAGAGAAAAGTAAAAAGAAAAGGACGTTGAATTTGTCTTGAAAATGATCCAGGTTTATTGTAACAAAAGGATCAAAAAGGCAGCAATCAATTATTATAATGCAACAATAAAATAACAAACAATAAGTACTTGTGTGGCTAAAACAAATGGGAAACGGTGACGGTCAACAAAAAATATTTCAGCCTACTATAGGAACGCTTTCCTTTGTCAGACTCCCGCCACTACACAACCCCTTAAATAACCAAAAAGCCACACCCATAAGCCCCAACATGATGACATAACATAAGCATAATTTCTATAATTTAAACTTATCAATAACATAAACTTAAAGTTCATTATAAGTAGGCAAAAGCAAATATATATTATTTTGGCTGCTACAGGAAGTGTATCTTGAAAGACGAGAAGGTGACACGATGTCCTAGACCATCAACAACCAACACACCCAGGGTACCCTGGACGTCATATGTGGACATGGAAAGTCCATGATCAAAGCGTCAATGTGTGACGAGGTCACAATGAGAATGTGTTGACCT